GCTTTTGCATCCAAATTCTTTCTCCAATAATGACGCAGCAATACGTGAAGCTCAAAATTTGTGATTTCGTAATCAGACATCTTAAAAAAATCAATAAATTTTCATAATATCCACAAAACCAGGTCAAAAACACAAAAAAAAAATATAAAAGATCATTATTTTAACACGGTGCACGAACTTTTTCCTCAACCTAATATTATATCCTCTTCAGATAGAAGAGAGAAAAGAGCTTTGTCCTTAGCATTTGCTTATGGATAGTGTGGAACTAACAAAAGATGTGCTTCGGTTTATACGAACGGTTCTTACAATGAGGATTATGGTGGTTTTATGGTGGTATAACTGTTTATATAACAACTTTCAGTTGACAAACACGTCACATAAAATTAATAAAACCTCTAATCGACTTATATTCGTGCTGCCATATGTGCAAAATTCTTCAAAAGTCTTCCAAAAACATTTTAAAGTTAACTAGAGCCGTTACTCAACTTGACCTGACCGTCGTACTCAGGCCACCTAAACCGGCAGGCACATTTTTCCAGAATAAAGACGCAACTTCAAAATGCCTGTAGTCAGGCGTGGTTTATGGGTTACAATGTAATGATTGTGACAGTGCATATGCTGGGAAAACAGTAAGACAAACATGTCGCGGTTTAGTCGAGCATAGTGCACCTAAAAGTCTTACAGAATCTTCTGATCGTTTTCGTTAGACGAAGTTTCTACACAAGATTGTTTAGGAGAAAAAGATTATATCAAGAATGAAGGTTACACCTTATTCTAATCAGGCAAATTTAAGACGTTCTACTCGTATAGCGGGAAAATCCCAAATCTTCTGCACTCTCTGAAAAGAATATTTCTAATTCTACTACTATCCATAAGCAAATGCTAAGGACAAAGCTCTTTTCTCTCTTCTATCTGAAGAGGATANACGGTTGTAAAATTCTTTTGAATGACGAAAATGCATATCATCTCCTGATTAAAGAATCTCTCGTCATCTTGAGTCATCAACCTAAACTTAACAATACGGCATGTTCAGTACCACTTTTCAACTTTCCAAATTGTATATCAAAAAATCTAGTCCCAGATCCAATAGGTTGAATAGTATTTATATTAGAGAGAAATTATACATTAATTCAAACCAGTTAAGTTAAAAATAATTTAAATTAATGGAGATAATTTTAGCCTAGAAATTGATTCTAATCGATGGATTGGATGACGATGATAAGTGGCGATGCGGTCCTATCTTGTGTACGTCTGTGAATGGAAATCTCAAGGTGATTTTCGAAATTTATATTAACAAAAAATCAGTGTGGAGTGCTAAAGCGCTTTCGAATTTCTTCGTCAGTAGCAAATAAGTAAGGCACACACGAGGAATAGTATCATATATATAAAAAAGACTATATGAAGACTATTAAGGTGGATTTACACCTATAACACACATTCACCTTGAACGTTCAGTATATCTAAGTAAGAGCGAAACTAAAATTCGCGAATGGAGAAACCGCCAACAGCATAAAAGCAGTCGGTGTATTGCTGCAACGATATTCTTTCCTGTAGTTATAAAGAAACAGTTAAGAATTAGAACGGTCGACGAGTATGGGTTCAAATGCCACAACAGCATTTGGATCGTCTTTTATTCAAGAAGAAGAACACATAGAAGAGCAACATTATAGACATGAAATAGATATTCTCAGTTTCCCAGCATCATCATGATTTACTCACAATTTTGTTTAAACTGACTAGAAAATCAGTTATGTGTCACGCAAGTAATGATTGATGAAAAAATGAAATGTGTGATATGTATATCTGAGTATGAATTACCAGACTTTTATTCAAAATGGCCATGTGTAGAGGTTTACATTTATTTCGTTACGACTGTTTGTTAATATATTGAGATGACAGACTACTTGTTCACTCTGGCGATATATGAAGCTGAGCAGGGACGATTAATGCCAATGACGTATATCTTTTGACAATGGTTTGGAAGAATGTTATTATTTTCCTGCCTAGAAGTTTAGGTCATGTGAATGCAATGTCCGTCCGTCAGCAGGGAGTGACATCTACATTCACCAACTCGTCGAGAACTAGCGACATATTCAGATTCGACAAGAAACACGTAATTACTATATTTTCAGCTGGAAAACATCCTGGACGTTGGAGTCCAAAACAGAAAATGTCAGAAATTAAATTTCACACCTTTTATTTGCTGGCACGAAATTCGTAGAATGCGATCTTCAATGAACAATGATTGGATTTGCTATATTCCTTTGACTGAAAGTCTAGAGTCATATGAACGGGATGTCCCTTATTCGACAGTAATGGACTGACACGTGCTTTAATAAATGCTGAAGGTATTTCATCACGCATATCGAGGGTTCGAAGTCTCATTTTAAAAGATCGGGTTCTCGGCGATGACTCATTTTTGAGTACTCACCGCACTCGTCGAACGACTTTTCTCGTCTGCATAGGCTATGCCGATGTTTAAAATTGATATTGTCTTTATCAAGGTCTTTTGCATGTCACAGGTTTCATACCAGCTCATACTCCCGCTGTTTAGAAGCTTAAAAAAACGTCAACTCTCCTTTTGTTTCACAACGAAGTTCTAGTTTGATCTCTGCTGAGATTTTGCATAAGCAACACAGATTAAAATCTTATTCAGTGGCAGTTAATTTAAAACTTAATATATGTGTAGGCTTCGTTTCGAACACTTAAAGGGTGCAGCTTACATTATCTTTTCTATCGCTATCAGCCTACTCCATGGAATGTCGACTTCAAGATAAGGCTGTCTTATTTAGAATTATAAATCAGAGGCTAAATTCGAACCTTCTTAGAAAAACATGTTGTTTAATCAGTATCAAGCAAAAAAAATCCTCGTCTTTGTGTCATAATAGATCAACAATGACAAATGTTTGCAAGAACGTGAATGTAACACGCGTAACAGATAAGAACTTAAATAAACAACATGTATCAAATCAAAAGGTATTCTTTAAGTTAACTAGTTATTCGTAAAAAACAATAATGTTCACTAAAGATATTCTATCTAATGAGGTTATCTTTCAAACATTTTATTATCTAACCCACTCATCATACTGAATCAGTCTAACACCTTTGAATTATTGATTATTGTTTTATTCATTAATTAAATTAAAAATGTTAGTCTCATTGAAATCACTTATTTTCTTCGTAATATTAATAAAATGCATTTTATCAATTGAAATTTCTAAATTAAAATTAACTGAAAATAAATCAAAATTAAAAATTGATTTAAACTACAAAACTTTAATAAATAATAATAATAGCTCAGCTTATTTACCTTATTTAAATTATCGTGATAAGCCTTACACAGTATCATGGGATAAACGTTCATTAATTATAAATTCAGTTGATAGAATTTTAATTCAAAGTGGTAGTCTTCATTATCCAAGAATTCATTATTCAGAATGGTTAAATGTTATTAAATTAGCTAAGAGTACTGGTATTAATACAATTGATTGTTATGTATTTTGGGCGTATCATGAATTATTACCAAATATTTATGATTTTGAAAGTGAAAATCGAAATATTTTAAAATGGTTTGATTTATTAAAATCAGAAGGTTTATTTGTTTTATTAAGAATAGGTCCATATGTTGATGCTGAATATAATTATGGCGGTTTACCGATTTGGCTTCGTCATTCAAATTTTACCGGAATCATATATCGAACTTTAAATCCACAATGGTTAGTTCAAATGCAAAAATTTGTTGAAATTATATTAAAATTAATAAATCCTTATTTAGCTGAAAATGGTGGAAATATTTTTATGTTACAAATTGAAAATGAATATGGAAATGTTGAATCTACTTATGGTAATTTAGGATATGAATATATGTTATGGTCAACTATTATGGCTCAATCTATTTGTAATAAATGTATGTGGATTATGTGTAAACAAGTCGATGCTCCTGATACTATTGTTAATTCTTGTAATGATTATTATTGTCATAAATTTTTACCTAATCATTGGAAAAAATTTCCTAATCAAGTTGGTATTTGGACTGAAAATTGGATTGGATCACCCGGATGGACAGGATGGAATAATGGTAAACCTCATAGACCAATTCAAGATTTTACATATGCAATAACAGCTTTTATTGCAGCTAGTGGAGGAATGTATAATACTTATATGTTATATGGAGGAACAAATTATGAACGAATGCAAAGTCAAGGTCATACGGTTACTTATAGTTTTGATCCTCCAATATTAGAAATTCAAATACCAAATCCAAAACATTTTACTCATTATAAAAATTTAGTTCAAACAATTAATTATTATGTACCGGCATTATTAGCAAATGGAAATATTATTGATCCAATAATTATAAATTTAAATATTTCAATTTATGAATATGGAAATTCAGTAACATTTATTTTAAATAGTGGAATGGAAAATCAGTCTATTTCATATAAAAATAATGATTATTTAATTTGGGCATGGAGTGCATTAATCATTGATGGTCAAACTTTGAATATTGTATTTAATTCAGCTGATTTATCTGATAATATTCCACCCGTCATTACAAAACAATTTAATTTCACTGAATTTGAATCAATTCAATTTTATCCTGAAACAAAACTGATGGAAATAAAAAATTATGATTTTATTATTTCAACTCAACTATTAGAACAAATATCGGTGACTGATGATAAATCTGATTATTTAATTTACAGTACAATAATAACATTTACTAAAGCTCAAGTAGAAAATCAATCAGTTTTATTAACAATTCCTTTGTATAATGAAGCCTTTTATGTTTATTTAAACGGAACTTTTTTAGATTCAAAATTTAGTTTCCAGGATCGTCAGTATGAATTAAATCTTAATTTAACAAATATTAAAAATCTTCAATCGAACGTCAGTTATGAATTGCAATTCATTTCATTAACAATGGGTTTACCTCCGTATGGAACATTTTTAGAGCAATCATTACGTGGAATAGCAGTTAAGCCAACTGATAAAATCTTTTTAGATAATACGTTATTAAATGATGGTAATAGACTATGGATACATTCAGCAGGTTTGGTTGGTGAAATAAATCATTTCTATAATTCTTCTAAGTCCGATGAATTAAAATGGCTTAATTATTCAGAATATTCAAATTCAACTTTAAATTGGTTTAAACTAACATTTCGAACTCCGACTAACATAATAACTGATTCAGATAATTTATATCAATTAAATATGATGGGAATGACTCGTGGATGGCTATATTTAAATGATCATATTTTAAGTCGTTATTGGACAATTGTTGCTGATAATAAAACAAATCCATGCGATGAAATATGCGATTATCGTGGTTCCTATACACCGGCCAAATGTAGATTTGATTGTCTAAAACCACAACAAATTTTATATCATTTTCCTAAAGAATGGCTTACTCAAGATAGAAACCAATTAAATCAATTAATTTTGTTTGAAGAAGGCATTGCTGATCCAACAAAAATTTTTATATCGATCACGGCTGTCAACAATAATGAAAATATCATGAAAGATATCGTAGAATAAAAATAAAACAGAATTTTTGAAGACTGATTTACCTGTGATAATCTTTTTCAAGTCATAATATTGGTATAATTCCTATAACGGGTAACCCATAAAGAACGGACCAGAATCATTACCTTTTCTTTTAGGCAGTTCTCTATAGTTTGAATAGTGCGTTCTAAGCTCATTCGATAGAGAATTTTCCACTTTAGAAAACTGTCCAGTTGAATTGTCGAACAAAAAATTTTCTTCTATTAGTAATATTTAAAGCATTAACATATATTCAGTATTCATACTGCGACAATCCGAAAAGTAAAAATCAGCTGTTCCGGTCTCTGGCCTTTTGCATTTTTCAACGAATATCACCGTGAAAATTTTTCAAGATGCAACCCGCTAATCATATAGGCCGCAATTAAATCAATCGCAATTAAATTCTCTTTTTGAACATTTCAAAATAAAAAGATTAAAAACTAAATGTCTATTCAGTAGCTCGAATGTCTTAATTATTGAAAAACACACGGCAACAAAACAATTTTAACCATTTTTTAAACTCGAATACTTCTTCTGAGACTTCGAGACTGATCGATAGAAGACAAAATTCTCTATCGTTTGATCTGAAAGAAGTTGCTCCTGAGATCAATTTGATGAGAAAAATATTTTTTTAAAGAAGGAGAACAACTCGCCACAGTATGAACAATGAGTATATGCTGATGTTTTATATGTTATCAGCAGAAGAATATGTTTTGTTCCACAATCCAACTTGATTGTCTTCTAGTAGAAAATTTCCTATCATATGAGCTTAGAACGCAG